ATTCACCAGGGCCCTATGCCCACACTATAAGCGCCCATACATATGATATATATGGTAATAATTAATTCTTTCTAACTTAATATTTGTTGGTTTATGTATACATTTTTGCCTAATTTCAATAAATATTTGTTTTTAAATTGTCTAATATTGTTATTATATAAACCAAGTGGGAGGAAAGCTTTTTCTTATTTTGGGGCATGTGGAGTAAAGATCTATAATTACTATCATCAATTGGACGTATAAAAGACACGTGAGGGGGTAAGACCAACTTATGATAATAAAGCTGCAACAAAAACGGTGTAAATAATACCATTGCGTAAAATATTTCCGCGTTCGCATATGCATGATCACGAGAAATAAAGCCATATATCTTTTAGGTGTTTCAGATGTTTAATATTTTCCTCTAATACGTAGGATAATAATAGTACAACCATGATAAGCATGAACATTAGAGTTAATTGAAAATATAACACGTAGAGAAAAGCCCAAAATCATTGTTGAGAGAACGTAAATCTCATCTAATTATAACTAGATCTTATAATCTAATATATGTAAACAAAAAAACTCATGATTAATGATAAAGCTATACGTTTCCCCTTGGTTGTACTCCTAAACAAAACAAGAGCTTAATATATATACCCAGTGAAAAATAAGGGGGTGTTTGGATGGTATGAGAAGTAATTTTGAAAAGTACTTTTCCGCATATCGAGATAAACTCCTCTACATATTTATTTCGTATACTGTAAAATCACTTCTAAAATCATAATTTGGTTTCCATCTAAACACTTTCTTAATCACAATTGATGCTGTGGCCGCATTTATTTGTGGATTAGAGGCTAAATTCATTGCTATTTCGTTATTTTGTATGTGCATCTAAAATTGAATTCATTTCCTATAATGATATATATATTTATATAGATGAATTTGAAATATGAGATTATTTAAAATTTTAAATTTGTGCGAGAATAAGAATAAGACAGCCCTTCAAAACATAAACAGATCATATTAGACAATTAAGTAAGACAATTTTTGTTGTGTTATTTACTATAAATTGCATGCTTACATTTTACTCTCAATAAGCCTCCTTTAGTAATAATGATTATTATGAATAATATTTTATTTGTTTTTACCAAATATCTAAAAGCATACATTTAAAAATGAAGATAAATTTTCTTCTTGATAACAATGTGATGTTTAAACACACTTTTGACATTTTTTTTGTTGTTGCAAATTTTGATAACTTTCTTTTTCTGGAATTTCAAGATTCGAGATACATCCCCCACAGTTAACACAATCGAGTTTTAGTGACAGTCTTAAATACTACTTCTGGTTCTTAATATAAGAATTTATTTGACTTTTATTTTGGTTCTAAATATAAGACTCTAATCCACTTTGTCTCTCATATTTATACATTTTTTTTCAAAGTAACCCTTCTAATAATAAGAGTTCTAGTCAATACACTTGATTAGCAATGATATTTTAGAAAAGACAACACCTATTTAGGATAAATAATTAACTCAACTTACTTCCTTAATCTCCTCAAATTAGTTAACTGACTCTTATAATTAGAACTAGTATTGTTCTTAAAGTCACCGCAATAGCCTAAACCAACAAATGGTCCTTCTAGGCTCTGGGTCATTAAAATAAGAATTGCTGACATCATCATTACGTACAAGGTATCACTATGCACGATGCATAGCGCAATAAGCCAATAATAAAGAGTCATTGTAAATAGTAAATGTATTTTAGAATATATATACACACGCATGAACGTTTTCTATGTTAAGGTAATATAATTTTTAGTTCTTTAGTTTTGTTCTCATTTAGATTTTAGTTTTTAAAATTTTAAACTATAAGTTTTAATCCTTCAAAAAATAAAATAATCTAAATTTTTATTAAATTTTAGGGACTAATATTTTAAATTAAAAAAACTTGAACGATCAAAACACATGATTTGAAATATAAGAGATGAAAACCAAAATAAGAATAAATTTAAAGAACTAAACTTTGTATTAACCCCTACTATCTTACATTTTGCTTCACTTAATTATGAGCATATATTTTAAATTTACAATCTTTCCTAGCTTAAAATTTTGTGTTCATTAATTGTACATTTACATTAATTAAATTAATTTGTGTCCATCTAAAATTCTATCCAAAAATGTTATTTATATTATTATTATTATTATTATTTAGACATAACTAGTTACTTGCACCTTTGGAGCTGGATTTTATCAACTTGATGATCTTGAAAATTTATTAATAACAAATTGAACGGCTTTGGTGATTAGAGTAATTATCAATGTTCATGATTTATGGAGTGTTTAAATAGAAACTAAACTATGGTTTTAAAAGTGTTTTTACGATATACAAAATAAATATGTGAAGGAGTTTGTCTCGTTTTGCGGAAAAGTGCTTCTAAGAAACATTTTTGGATGCTTCCAAACACCACCTTAAAAGTCGGACTGTGGTCTAAATTATAGTTAAGCCAATCATGAGTGAATTAACATATATTTTATATAATATATGCTCACAAAACAATAACATATAATAAAAAATAAATATTTAAATTAAAAAAATATGATTGAAAGAAGGCAATATCTATCAATACTAGATACTTATTTCATAATTGATAATTTATAGCTTTAAATATATAAACAAAACTACATGTTTTTATCTTCATTTTCCAATACTCACTAAGCATAAATATGTATAAATTATAGCACTAAAATTTAAAAATAAAAATATAGTTTTTAAATTCCAATCCAATTCTTAAAACCAAAATTCATGCAAACTCAAAAAATGAAAAAAATTATATTAACTATTTTGGTTTTATAAAAAGAGCTAATTTCTTATTTTGTAACACCAAGCGATTTTTTTTGGCCTCCTTTCCATGAAGTAATACTACTTCTTTTACCCGAATACTCCTGGCCTAGTGGTGACTGGCTAGGCCACAAGTGAGGCGAGTCTCTGCTCTTTGAGGGCGGGGGTTCGAATCCTCACTTGTTTAAAAGGGTACCGGGGAGGGCTTTACTTGTCGCCCGGCCCGAATCCGGACTAGTCGATCGCTCGGGTACAACTGGCCCAAAGAGGCTAGGGCCCAGAAAAGACGCGGTTGGATACCGGATGGTTTATATCAAAAAATACTACTTCTTCTAGTTCTTAACATAAGAATTAATTAACTAATTTGAGTAAATTAAGAAAGTTTGTTAAGTTAGTTATTTATAATAATTAGGTATTATCTTTTTTAGAATACCCTTACTAATAATATGTATTAGTTATAACTACCATTTGATGTAATCTTTAACATGTATAGCTACTGTAATGACTACTTTAGAAAAAATAGATAAATATGAGTGATAAAATAAATTGAACTCTTGTACAGCTGGAAAATAGCAAAATAATATCAGAACCCTCTAAAAATTCCTCGGCAATACAAAAATTTCTCGCAGGTCAGAACGATTGAAATCTGTTCATTTCCTTTACTCGCGTTCTGTTTGGTCTGCAATAATGAAGATATTGATTAAGAAAAACAGAGGGCAAGGCAAGAAAGAAGAGAGTGTATATTCACAATGACGCGTTTCAATATTCTGATTCAGAACGCTTCATAACAAAGAAAAATGGTTAGACACCTCCACACACAGAAAAACATTTACCATCTTTGAGAACAAATTCCCACGTACATTCAAAACTTCTTGGTGGGTATGTGTGTGTGTGTGTGTATTAAAACGGAGAAGGAAAAGAACACAACTTTATTCAGATATTCTTTGTATACTTTAAGTTGTTCCATTTTGAATATGGGCCAATGTGCGTCTCATCACAGAAATCATTACAAGTACGGAAGTTGTGGTTCTTCTTGTAGAAGAAGACAAGGCTGCTTTGGCATGGTGAAGGAGAAGGGGTCCAGGTTCTATATTGCTACAAGATGCATAAAGATGCTAATTAGTTGGCACAAGTATGGCAAACGTTGAGCACCCCTTTTATTTCTTTTCTTTTTGTTTCTTCGAGTTTAGATCAATAGTTTCTGTCTTTTCTATTTTGTATATAACCAGCATTGATTTAGACAATTTTGTATGTCACAGTCAAGCGATGAATGTTAGTTCATTAACAGGAAAAAGAACAGAGCTGAGCCATATGATTGTGAACAAAATTGTGATTAAGCCTTGACTTACCCGAGATTATAAAAACCAGCGTTAAATAATTGTTTAGATACAATTTTTTAACCATAGCTGAACCATATGATTGAATACCTAGCTAATGTTGCTAAAGCTGAGAAATTAGCGAAGGACTGAGGTTATTTGGGACAAAGAAGAAATTTACTGCAGGTAAAGGTGAGGATTTAGTATAATGCTATATTTTATTTTTATTTTTTCCCCCGCTTCATCACTGTGCAGAGATGGGAAAGGAACAAAGAATACATGGGTGCTGTTTAGGGGAAGCTAAGAGATACATAAACAGATGCTGAGTTTGAGAAATTGTGCATAGATTTTATCTTGTTCTACTAGTTCTGAAGTATGGGAATACGATGACTACTGTGAGGGATATAGAATGAAATGCTCATTAGAGCAGCTTCAAAGGCAAGATGTTAAAGAGAGAGCTCACCAACGGACCAGACGCAGCGTCTCAGGTCTGTTTTATCAGGGTTCTTTATTCCTAAGGTGGAGAAGCCTGAAAGTTGCGGGGCATGATAGACCCATAGGGTTGTGAAGATCATAGCTAAGATTATGACATATTGTACGAAGAGCATTTTATGAAGGGTGACCTTAATAACTTCCCAGAGCTCTGATTTTAGATACCATCATCTTTGCTTTTCAGTACTTGAGGAGCGGGAAGAAGGGCAGGAACTACGAATTTTGTTTGAAAGTTAAGATGAACAAGGCTTCCAACGGCCATGAAAAAATGTGGAGAATAGAGGCTTACAGCAGATTTTGAAAAGTTCAATTAGCAAGACAGGTGAGAAACGTAACAGAGTGGACTAAAGCTAGAAATGGAGTTCATGAATGCATGAAGAGCCGAAGGTCATGGTGTTCAAATTTTATGGAAATCATTTTATGTGACCCCCTGTTCATAGCTGGTTCAATGGTTTCTTTGACAGATTTTCACCCGTCTTTAAAGTTGGTTTGGATAAATTACAGACTAAATAAATTATTGACTTTCCAGATTTGGGGTCAAATCGGCAACTTTAGTCCAAATTTTTTCCCTAAAAATTAAATATTTGGAAAAAAAAAAAGCTATAGCTTTAAAGAAAAACAATGGTAACATTGGTGATACGTAGAACTTGGAAAAAAGAATAATTTTTAAAGTTTATCCAATAAAATAGATTTTATAGCGGCGATTTTCCTCGAGACGCATCGAAATACGCTCGGAGTAGGTGGAGCAGAGCGGCGTAGCACTCGAAGGTTTCGAAGAGTGAGGATATGGAAGGCGATGACTTGGATGATGAAGCACTTCCCAGCATGACGACCATTTCTCGGCACAACTTCGGCGATGACTCTGAAAAGCCGGACTTGTGCATCTCCGTCATAGAGGTCCCCTTTTTCCCAGACGCTCGATTCTCTTCTTAATTTGGAACCTAACCATACCGTGTTATTTCCATATGTTGTTGGTGACTTAACACAGAATATGAAGGAAGACTATGGCCTTTTCGTCTGGCCTTGCAGTATAGTTTTAGCTGAGTATGTTTGGCAACAAAGGCAACGGTTTTCTGGGACTAGTGTTGTCGAGGTATGATTTTAGTTCAAGGATTGGCTTATGTCCGCAATGTTGTTCATCTGGCTGTTTCCATGCAGCTTGGCGCTGGAACATCCTTGCCTGGTTTGGTTGCTGCAAAAGTGGGAGCTGATGTCACTCTTACAGATGACTCTAGTAGATTAGAGGTATTGCTTATTATGGATTTGCAATTTGAGGTTCTTGAAGTGAAATACTTTAAATTCTCCTTCTTTGGTATACCTTGTTTGACTGTTGTGTCTTATCTACTATGGCTGGAACTTCTATATCTGTGAACTGATTGCTGATTGTTTTGGAGCTGCAGGTGCTTGACAACATGCGTAAAGTTTGTGACTTGAATAAACTTAATTGCAATGTGAGATATCACCAAGTTCCTGTCTCAACTATTCCATCTTTTACAAACTTCCTGTCTCAACTATTCCATCTTTTACAAACTATGGGCATAAATATGCTCGGACTCTACAGCTTAAAGCTGTAATGATGCGATATAATATCATGATTTCACCCTTTCTGTGTCTAATGTGCCTTTTTTAATAGTGGGTGTCTCCAAGCCCAACTATCATTCCCTTGCACATATAATATGCCTCGGTCACGATTCCAAAATTTTATTTTGGCGTTCTTTCTCTGTTTCCTTAATGGATTTCCTTTTATTTTGTAGGTGCTGGGATTGACATGGGGAGTGTGGGATTCATCCATATTCAATTTACAGCCCGAAGTTATTCTTGGGGCTGATGTTTTGTATGACTCAAATGGTGAAAAAGTATTCATTTTTTTGTGTACCAACTTTCCTATATAGGTTGAGCAGGAACGTTGATTCTTTTCATCTCGTTCAGCCTTTGATGACCTCTTTGCTACTGTGACATTCCTGCTTCAAAAATCTCCTGGTTCAGTCTTTATGACATCATATCATAATCGGAGGTACATTTTGATCTGTACTATGCTTTGTGCCTGAGATACATTTGCTCTCTTCTATATTCCAAGTTATCCATCAAATCATGTGCAGTGGGCACCACCTTATCGAGTTTTTAATGGTAAAATGGGGCTTGAAATGTGTCAAGCTTCTTGATGGGTTTTCTTTCCTGCCACCCTGCAAGGCATCTGTGCTAAGTGGCAACATTCAATTGGCAGAAATAACTCTTATCTGAAAAGGTAAAGCTTAAGGTGGTTCATATTTGTCAAATAACTGTCAGAATCTTTTTGGTGACACTATGGCATTACTGTTGTCATATTGGTGCTTGTTGCTTTCAGGCTTCACGTTATACTCTATAATATCAAGTAGTACAGTTAACCATGTAATTGTTTATTTACTCACTAATCACAATTTATGTGTAAAAACAATTAATCAGATAGAGTCCTTCTCTTCCTTCTATATTTTGTTGTTGCTTGCTATTAAAATTGACTGATTATTGATGTGGTTTCTTTGTAGAGGGAGCCAAGATGCTATGTGATCTGGAATTCTCTGGCATTGCCATTGCCATTGTCATTATTTTGATTTCAGAGCTTCTAAAGTACAATTTGGGCTTGTTTTGATCTGCTCTTGAGAGTTATTACGCATTCAATTGTTGCAAAATTTGCAGAGATGTCAACACAATGGACATTTGTATCTCTGTTACTGTCAAATGACTCTGAATCTTTTAATTCTTCTGAGTAGACAACTTTAATTAATTGTTTTTTGCAATAAAAATTGTTTCATCTTGTATGATATTTCAGCCTTTTTTCCCCTCCTTATAAACACTTCAACAACAATAGTAACAAACATTATCTTACTAAATAGGGTCGGCTATATGAATCGTATTTTTCTTATTAAATAGGGTCGGCTATATGGATCATATTTTGTTATTGTGCTCTATTAACAATGAGATAAACCATTCACCAGCTTTTTTAGGAGCGACCGGCGATGGATGGTAATGATTATGAAAAAAGGAAAACAGAACGTGGATGCTTAAACACCACATCAATCGGCTTATAAATTGCACTGTCTGCTTTCAAGCCATGTTTGTTTTGTTGGACTGGTTTAATTCAGTAGAGTTTATAAACTTTTATCCAGATTACAAGATTGAAGAGATTCTGCAATTTAATAATGCCATTTGTTCTCTATGTTCGCAATGAGATCATTTGAATTTCGTTCCCTCGGATTAAGACGCAAATCACATCATCCCTGGTAGTTGCATTTGTTGGATGTGTTGCTGGCGAGATTGAATTCATAATTTCGCAAAGAAACTCGCGTCACAGATAAGGAGAGTGCCTATGTTATGTTTCCTAGAGTGTAATATATATCTTGGCACTTCAAGTGACCAGACATGCAAATATTATCACCAATTTATAGATTAGCTCTTAAAGATCTTGAGTTTCATTACAACCAGATAAAAAAATCTTTTCTCAGCATCATGAGATTAGCAATTTCTTGACATCTTGCAGGTATGATCTACAGCTGTCATACCTTCAGATTATTTTCAAATTTGTAGCTTATCCTGAATTAGACAGAGCACTAAGATAGATATCCTAGTTGACAACCCTGCAGTTCTCCCTAATCTCCTGCCCACCATTGATGCTACTCATTTTGATCATCGAATTGGCAAAAGATTTGAAGAAGGCCTCTTTTGAGGTAGCAAACTTAGTCACCAATTCCTTAGTCTTTGGGGTATCAAGCAGAGCTTGGTCAGAAGAAAATAAGCTCTTCCCTTGGAGGATTGCCTTGAAATATGTGTTATCAAAAGTAGCCGAAGAAGGGTCCATGGTGGTGCCAGCCTTCTTTGCCTGATTTTTCAGTGGACAAATTGACTTCAATTTTCCAGCAAAGGACGGATTTAATGAAGGATCCACATCGTGCGTAGCATTGAAATTGTGGATTCTGTTTTGGAAGGACGAACAATGAGAGAAACCTAAAGTGTGTCCTCCTGCATCGAATCAAAAGATGTGTTACTCTAAAAAATTTTCAGACATATATTGGAATAGAATATGCTTAGATGAAAGTACTGGAAATGTGGATCTTTAGATTTGCTTACCTGACAACGCGACCAGATCCTCTGTCGACAGACCTCTTTGAGAGAAGCTCTGCAGCAACTGTGATATGTTGAAGGTGGGTGCTGGCAATTGTCTGGTTTCACTGGCCAGAGATGTTCTACCATCCTTTCTTCCTTTAGGTACATCCCAAGCTGGACCTCCAGACTGTAAAATTTAAAATAAGATATGCATCAGAGAGTTCATAGCTGCAAACTCACTGAAACTAACCAAACACATCAATGCCAAGGACCAAATAGTTATTCAAATCTGTACTGAACTTTGTTTTCTTACCAGAAAAACTGCATCCCTTGCTGCTAGTGCTAGGATGTCAGCACAAGAGACCACACCGGGGCATGACTTTTCTACTTCGCTCTTCACATTATCAATGACATAGAATGCGTGCAAAGAAATATTTGGCGGCCCATCCTTTTCTGCTTTTTTGTTTCCTTTTGATTTTAGCAGCACTGAGGCATCGCATCCCTTTGGAATTAAGGGGGAAAATCAGTTCAAGTCAGTTCAGGAAGATGTATGAGTGAATGAAAAGCAGAGTAGAAGGGAAGGCAAAAGGCAGGTCTTAGTGTCATTACCCTAATGAAACAATCATGGAAGTGCATTCGAAGAAGTGCTGCAGGAACAGTTTTGTCCTTAGAAGCTGCTTTCCCCACGACCTTGGCAACAATGAACTCCAGATCAGGGCATGTCTTCTCATAGTGGTTGAGGCTAAGTGAATTACCTAAAGGAACTGCTGAGAACAAAATAATTGAGCTCATGACTGCAATTATGACAGCCATTTTAACTAGAAGACTTAATGATCTTCAGCTTTTGGTTGTGGAAATCAAAGATGAATAAAGTGGGTATTTATAGAGAGAAAAAAATAGATTAGTTATGGGTGGGGATATGTGGCCCCAGTTAACCATCATTTAGTTAAGCAAGCCTGCATTTGTAGTAACGTTTAAGCATCCTCATTATTAAAAACAACCTCTTTAATACTTTGTAGACTGAAGGTTAAACCTCCGGTAGTTTGTAGTGTCTTGGTGCCTGAGCGATATTAGATACTTACTCCAAGGAAAGTGAAGATAATTGAGGAAGCCGGAGGGAAAAAACTCTGGTAGGTTGTGGCGTATTATGGTTACTGTGGTAATTTGGATCTTCAATCTTCACTTTGTACTTGTTTTCTGTTGCTCAACTTTAACGGTTTAGGCTTGACATCTCAATCTTTTTTGCCCCCCAAATATCGAGTTTAAATCTCTCAGACTTCATCTAGACAACGTAGAGGCCCAATAGCAGAGAACAGAGAAATTATGGGCAGAAAAGCCGGATTATGGTCTGATTTGGATTATGCACTCCTCTTATGCCCCCCAACTTCATAAGTATTTAGATGGAATTTAAACTGTTCAGCTTCCGTTTTGGGGTGAAATTTCCTTCTTTTGGAGTTCTGACATTTGAATCATTTTTTCTTGTTTTTTTTGAATTATTACATCTGAATCATTGAGGTAATGAGATTTGATATAAAAGGCACAAACGCTCAAAGACATACGATAAATTGAGGAGTCATTATGATTGATGTTCTTTTCGTTTTGAGAGATAATTACGCGAGTTCCACTTTTAATCTGATGGACTTGATAATGATGACTGGTAAGCTTGTAGCATCACGTTTGCTGCAGCATAATAAGGGATATGAGATTACTTTATGGAATTGTCCTGATTTGAGAGGCGATGAGATATTGGAATCTTAAAGGTTAGTACGATCTTTCTGGGATGGTACTACATTTTGGAGTTGAGTAAATAGGGGCCTTGGGTTTAAGATCCATGCGTTTTATTTGAATGAGGTGGAAGGTCACAGATCAGAACCAGCCAAATCAACTTATAGATTTTCTGCATTGGATTCTTGTTAGCTAGGAATGTCTTTTGGTGGTTCCGGTTGAGCTATCCAAGTTGTTATTTTTGTGTGGCCAGAACCTCAAACTTAAATTGCGAGTCTTCAACTTTGTTTATGACTTAGTCAACTGGGGTATTTCTGTTAATATTATTTATTGTTATTTTCGTTTCCCATTTGATTATCAAGGTCTCAAATGAAGCTTCGTGTGTGTTTCAAGGAGAAATGGTTATCCGATAAGGGTCCACTAAGTACATAACCCGTTTGCCTGTATATAGAGGAGAAGTATTTCTTTCTATTGTACAAAAATTGGTTAATTAAGATAATCAATATCAATATTTATTATGTTAATGAGGGTTTTATTACTTTTCAACTCAGATGATAGGGATTTTTATTTATAAAATTATGTTATTATTTTTTATTCAAAGGGTCTTTAAAAATTGACCTTTACCAAGAAGGGGAAAAAACTTGAGCAGTGATAAAAATGACACATGTCTATATGACTTAACCTTGATGAGCTAGATTTGAATTCGACATTGGATGATTTCAAGGATGAGTAATATTCATATTTAAAGCTTATATTTTTCAATTAGAAAATATGTTTATTTACATTGTGATGTTTGTTACATTTAAAGAGATTAAAATTTAAGAATAAAATCTGGAGCATCTATTTTAATTTAAATGATCAGAATTAATTTAAAGATCAGAACGAACAGGTTTGATAGGAGTCTCTCCCTTTCACACGCAAGCCTGATATGACCGGGCAACAAACTCATTTGACTCGACTTTTTCTTCCACTAAGTTTTGTTTTTGAATTTTCAAAAGCCATGTAACCACAAAAAAATTATTATCTTTTTTTTTTAATACCGAAACCAGAAAATTATTATCAGAACAAAAAAAGAAACTTAGAAATTGGTTACAATGAAACCCAAAAAAAAAAAAAATCATGTTGAGTTCTCACATATGGTTATATCATAATTAAGATGGATAGAAAAAATTTAAAGGAATGTTTAGATATCTCTAGAAGTACTTTTTAAAAGTATTTTTTCACAAATCAAGACACACTGCTTTATATACTTATTTTGTATATTATAAAATCATTTCTAAAAATCATAATTTAGTTTTTATCCAAACACCTCTTAAAAGCAACAAAAGCAACACAAGACAAAATGGAAATTTTTCATCTAAAGTGGTTCAAATCATCATTATTTACAAAAGTAAATGTACGCTTATTAGATTGGGGGTAAAAGAATGAATAAATAGAGAGGATTCGATCTGAATTCAGATGTGTGAAGAAAAAGGAAGCGTTAGTTATTCAACCATGGTTCAATCCAAAAGAACAAGAATAAATCGTATCACTGCAACTAATCTTACGCATCAGAGCACAAGACAAGAAGAGTTCAGCAAAAACGCAGATCACGGCCTTCGCCACATCTCAGAGCTAAAAAAGCGGGAAAAAGACGATAGGCAAATATAGGATCTTCTATATGATTTATATCTATGCCAAATACATTATTATTTTACATACACGGGGAAAAATTTTGTGAAGCAATAGCATGATGCTTCTCTTTTTCACCCAGCCGAAGTATTTTACCCTACACTTCGAATAATACAAAAATTTTCTGAATGTGAAGAACATTTTCTGAATTAATTTTAAATCAAACAAAAATGGATTTCAATATATATAGATGAGAACGAGGGATGGAGAGGCAGAACCTACCTTTGTAAGACTCAACATCAA